GGACGGAGCTTTATTTGAGCCCTGTTCGTCTCTTTGGCAGTTGGCTCCTGGTATCAAGATATCAACATCTAGTCACCTGTAGCCTATTGTTGTCCTCGAAGCTATGTTGCAATAAGCCTGGAATGGCCGACCTGGAGCCACGCGCTTATTGCAAAGGGAATGTCCGACATTCCTTCCACATGCAGTAGCATCCTGTTTGAAGGCAGCACGTTCAATTACGAGCATCGATTCTGAACTGACAACGCCGAGATGCTGCGGCTGCGGGGCGGGCTTAGGGCTATTTGTGCTGTCTCATTATTTGGAGCGCCTTCGCTAACAAACATCTTGTCTCGTTTGCACAGTCGGACGGGCTTACGAGAAATTCGTCATGTTGCCGTCAAAGAGCTCTATTTAAAACAGCGAATGCCGAACTTGTCGCTAGCTGCTTTCAAGAAAAGGAAGAACCACAGTGCCGCAGGCCCGCACCACTTCGTGACCGGCGTGACAAGAATAGCTCGACAATATCGTTATTTGCCGTCCCAGCTTCATTCCTAGAGTCAGCCAGCGTAGATGCGCGCCTCTGAAAAGCCGCAAACAAGCGAATCGCATTGATGGGCGTTTTCACCTCAGCGGCCATCGTCTCCCCACGGCCGCCAAACCATTGTCCGTGTTCCCTGCAAGATAAATTGTAGTTGAGGTGGGAGAGGGTCGTTCAAAGAAGCTTTGTGAATCGGATTTACTGCACCCAGAGACCCGTGAACTCGAGTTCTCAATTTCGTAAAAATAAAAGGTGCTAGTAAAAAACTGATAGTAAATAAAATAAACAAATTCCGTTCCCGCAGGCCGCCGTCCTGAGACCTGAGAATTGAGATTCTATCCGTAAATGTATACCTATAGGGCCTTGCGTAAAGTATTGAATGCGAGTGGCTTGGTGTCAACTACCGCGAAACCCGTTTTATGGTCACTGTTTGGAATTCGCAGGTATCTGGTTTTCCGGATGGAATACATTGGCTCACCAGTCTGTGGCTGAATGCATCAAAGTCGCATTAGATTGTAAAGTGTTTAGGAAACTTTGGATGGGTCTGGGATTCTGTCGTTCGCCAGAATACATTGCAAGAAGAGCGGCAGACCGATGATTCAATGCTGAGCTCGGCTGGGGATGGGTCGCGTTTTATTCGGCGGGACATGGCTCAATGCTTAATCTTACGCCCACATGCGATCTAGGCATAACAATGATGGTGGGTATGAGAGGAAGTAAAAAGGCGAGTTTAAATCTAGCTGAAACGATTCCTCACAGCCTGGGGGAGAGATTGCCGTCAGCGTTTGGCGCCCGGCGAGACGTTGACTATACATAGTTTGTTTTCTATTTTGAACCTGTTTTGTATTTCCAAATGATCGCATAGCCCAGAAAAAAAAAGAATAGGCAGGGGCCCTTGGGATGAAAATCGTTTTTGTTGCCAATTAGTAACGTTTCCCTACATGAAATATGAATCTACCGATATGTTTTCAGTTTTCCGAGGCTTGTGGCCACCAGCCAGTGATTGCGACTTGTCTTCCTCTTATCCCTCATTGATTCGTGATATGGCCATCGACACTGAACCAACACATTGCGACACAGTTTGCACCTGTATTTTACTACAATCATCTTTTACAAACTGAAACTACTTGTGGCTTTTGACAACTTCTTTACCTCAAGGGTACAGCCTACGTTGAGGGAAATGTGGCAGGAAAAGTCGCTCGGCTATTATACTTCACCGACCTGCTTATCATATTTTACGCCGGCACTTTTTGGAAAAATAATTAGTTGTTTTCGCATGTTTATTCTTCTTACTAGGGATAATGCTAAGCACATATATGATAGAGCAAGCCCAACCGTAAAGTGTTTACTCGTTTCAAGAATGCAGCAACACGGCAGATGCACTTCCACACAATATCCGCTGCACTCATCCTGTGCAGCTATAACCCACGCATGCCTTCGCACTTATCACATATTTAATTTCCCGTACACTGTATAGTGAATACCTTGAAACTTATCCAAGTTGAGACACTAATGTGTATCTATCAGGTTTAACGACTAATAATACAGCAGTAATGATCGGTCACGGCATCTGCAAATTATCCCGCCACCACGCACTCTTTTAGCGAGAACTGCACTCAGAGCGTGAGCACAACACTAGACCCGTCACCCTTCACCAATTACCTTCAACAAAGGTCAACGCGTTGAGCCGGGAAAACTTCACTTAAAGTTCCTGCCTGGGATATCATCCCCACATGATTAAATCCGGAGATGGTTCCACCAGGCTGAAGTTTGGATGCCTTCTTAACTCTGCAGCTATCATCATGGGTGTCGATTTGTATACCTTTGGGGGTGCTGCAGCACCCCCAATGCTCAAATGAGCACCCCCAATGGTTTTCCGGGCACCCCCAATGGTTTTGTCCCTCAATAACTCTGCTTGAGGAAAATAATTGTTCTGCAGTAGTTCACTACTAAAAATAAAACAATTACGCAATTTACAAGGCATGAAATAAAGATGTAAAGAAAAGAAAATTTAGATTTAAGAAGAAGGGCGAAAAAAACGTTAAGTTGCAAAGATGGTGTGGGTCCGTCGTACACGGGTGTCGGACCCTTAGAGCTGCTGGCGCGTACCCTTTACAAGCCGGCAGGGGGCTCCAGAGACCGGCGACGGGCCCTCAGAGGCCGGCAAAGGGTCATCAGAGGCCGGTGGTATGTACCTTCAGAAACCCTGTGGGGTCATCTTTAGAGACCGGAACGGGCTCAGGCGCTGATGGGGCCCTCAGAGTCGCCGGTGTGGGGCCTTCAAATGTCACCGGTGGCAGGGTGGCCGTCACATGCGCACTTGTGGGGCCTTCAGAAGCTACGATGTTGGGCCCTCAGAGCCGCCGATATAGGGCCTTAACCCGGCAGTTGCTGGGGTATTTCGCCACCCACCGTTTGCTGGGGGGGGGGGGCGTTAAACGCCCCCAGCCGATAACTCGAGAACCAATAGGCGCAGCGAAACGCACGAGGCGGCAAACGAAAGAACGCGACGAGACGCTTCAGATGAGTACTTTAAAGTTGAATTTTGAGGTCACAGGTCAGGTCAAGGTCAGGTCAAACACCTGAAATCGGGCTTTCAGTAGCATGGTCTTCAGGACTTCGCAATGGGCGCCTCTCGTCATAAACTCTGTCAAAACGGTGCACAATCCATCATATAAGGCCTACAAGAGTGTCAGCTCCATGCAGGGGTCAGTCAAGCATAGGTCAGGGTCAAGGTCAGGTCAACCGGGCAGGCACATATCCCCGAAAATAAAAACTGATATTCGCAGCCTGTGACACATGTTTTATGGGTAATTTGGGGCGTAGAGCACGATGGTGACATTCATTTTATCATATGTGTACGTGTTTGGCTAAAAAAGTTCAATATAAGAAATGCATGTATCATGGTCGTGAAGAAGTCACGAGAAATTGCCAAGATTCAGTTCAAGATTTTGGAAATTGCGGAACGATAATCAATAATCGAAGATAGCCATCTGATTGTTCATGGTATTGGCAGTCTAATGGCGTTTACGGCATGTCTGTATGTCTATTCTGTGATTTTATATGATTTTTTGAACATATGCCGTTTTTGGTCGAAAACTCAGAAATCATGACGTCACTAAAACCTCGATATCTCAAAAATTTTCCGACCGATTTTTTTGAAACTTTGTCACAATAACCTTCAATCGATTCCCTACAGGTACCCAAAATTTGGCGCGCCTACGGCGCGCCGTGTTTATGCTATGGCCCGGCGAAAAAAGTGGGGGCGTTTAACGCCCCCCCCCCAGCAACTCGCGGGTTAAGAGGCACTAGTGTGGGGCCCTCAGATATGGCAATGTGGGGCCCTCGGACTGGAGGCGCCGGTGTGGGGGCTCTCAGAGACACTGGTTTAGGACCATCACAGGCGCGCGTTGGGCCCTCAGAACTGCTGTTACGGAACGGATCCTTCATAGGCCGACAAGAAGATATCAAGAGGTCACCGGTGCCTTCAGGAGCCTTGTGGGGTTCTCAGAGACTGGCATGGTGCGCTCAGACGCCGCTGGGACCCTCCGTGTCACCTGTGTGGGGCCGTCAGGGTCGCTGGTAACTGTCAAGGGCCCTCAGAACCGCCCATGTAGGGTTTTTAAAGGCATTGGTATAGGGCCTCAGAGCTAGGGGTGTGGGGCCCTCAGAGACGCCGGTGTGGCGCTCAGGGGCGCCGGTGAGGGCCCTCACAGTCGCCGTTATAGGGGCCCTCAGAGAAATGGGTGTGGGGCCATTACAGGCGGGTGTGCAGCTCCTAGAGCTGGCCCCCTAGAGGCCGGTTAAGACCCCCAGAGGCCGGCAAGTGGCCCTCAGAGGCTGGCTTGGGGCCCTTATGGAGATCTTAATGTTAGTACTTTTGGGCCCATGAGGTGTTCTTACGAGCCCTGTGGGGCCCTTCTGAGTCCAAATATAGCCAACGTGGACCCTCAGTGGCCAATTGGCGCCGCAGTGCCCCTCAGGCCCGAATAATCCGATGGGCCCCTGAACCTGATGGGGCGGGGAGGAGGCTCACGGGCCCACCTGGCTACGCCACTGAGGAAAATCGTAAACCCATAAATATCGAATTGCAATCACCTGTTATTTTTTTCAGCGATTATTGTGATCGTCTGATAAACGCCAGAGCCTCGTAGCTATACCGTTGCCTCCCGCGCAATGTCCGCCCCTGTGGACCGCAGGGGCTGCTGCACCGGTGCTAATCGCGGTCATCGGTTTCTGTCACCTTATTACAGAGGTGTCGGTGCTGCTGCCGAGCTGCCGGCAAATGTACGCGTTTTTTTCGGAAAGATGTTTATGTAATGAGGTAGCCAAGTACTAGGACGAGCAGAATGATTTTGAAGAACGTTCAACCTTTGGGAAATATTAGTGGAAATCCCGGGATTATCAGTACCTTATGGGGATACACAACCATGCCTTGTAGGTACGGTTGTGCCCCATGGCAAAGCTACAATCTTTCACCCGGTGCAGGGGTTGAGCACCCCCAACCATTTTGAAAAATCGACACCCCTGGCTATCATTGATTTTGACTCATACGCTGGCACATCTGCAGCATTGCTAACCGACCAGCGGGACACCGTTCTGCACCATAGGCAATCGCACTACCCGATACATCAAGCATATTCAGTTCATAACTTCTTAACGTCTTACCGACATTCACAGGACACATTTAGCTACGCTTGATCATAACATACCATCTCATGGCATCTAATTGGTGCGCCAGCCTCCCGAAAAATAAAACACCCATAAAGAGCTCGTAGAAAGCGTCAGTCTCACAGTCGTGTTCGCAATTCGCACCCAGACAGATACATGATTCAATCGCGCAAACCAATGGGACCCGCCCACTCGGTTGCACATACTATAATAACAATGAAGTATAGGTAGAAACTACTGTAGATACATATAGCTTGAACTAAAACCTTATAGTCAAGAGGCACAATGGGGGAAATCTAGTCGCCGATGCTATGAATGAAATATTTTTGTATCATCGCTTCATTCATATTCACTATTTAGGAGCTAAAGTCACGATTTACAAGTAAACTAAATACTAAGTAATATAGACACTAAAGCTTGCAGACTAGGTGTTAGACACTTGCATAGCGTCTCATAAAGACTCGATTGCAATAGACTGCACTACCTTCCGTGGACACCTTTAGGCAAGCTAATATTGTTCATTGCTCATGGATGCTGATTGCCTACAACGGACACCCAAACACACTAAATACAATGCATAAACAAGTCGGTAAGTGCGAATAAACAGTTTTTCAGTGTTACGATAGGTAGGTACACGCGTGTACACTGTACGTCATGCTGCTCTATCGCCTTTTAGTATTCATCATTCGAGCACAACTCAGCCAAATATTATTTCATGTCAGCCTGATCTCGAACAATTCATTGCGCACTGTACACGTATCTTCCCTTTCGTGTCGCCCTTTTGCGACTCGCTTTCACAACCTACAATCTCTATTCGTTCTTTAATCACGGTCTACTAGTTTCCCGGTTCATAAGCCGACTTCCATATATCTGCCAGGCAGACGGACGAATGGAATCTGTAGAACAGGCACAGTGGTGTGGTGGCGTGCTTCAGCAGCGTCCACGTGAAGTTGCCGTAAAAGTGGACACACAGTGTGTCCTGGCTGGCCTGGTTCTCCAGAGTCTGCAGCAGCCACATGGCTAGGTTGCAGAAGAGCAGCACGGTGACGTACTCGCGTCCAGGCTTTGCCTGACGCGCCTCGGGCGTGTTGCTGCACCGTCGTAGACTGTCCATCAGGAACGGGGTCTGAATGATCACCTCTATCACCTGGGGGGACGAGGGAAAACGGGGGGGGGGGTCAGCACGGCTTAGAAAGACCCCCAGCAAACAGCGAATGTTCACACTTGGACATGGCTGCGGCATGCTAATTTCCACAAAATGCTAGATTACTTGCATGAGTTATACCGCTGCAGTTTTAAAAGACAATTTAACGATCGATTTATCTCGTTTCGAATGTCCGAATAAATTTATGTAAGTTTGCTCGCTGCGTCACTAGCAGTTATCAACTCCGGCATCGAACGCGTTTTTTATGCTATCAATCCTGGCTTCTCAGCTCACACATGACGCTCGTTGTGCAAGGCAAGTACAAAGGCGCGTTCAAGGCGCGCTGTCAATGTGAGTGTTGCGGCACAGCATGCTTCAGGCGCCCACGTAGGCTGACATCTAGCGAGAAAACTAGAAACTACAGAGCGCTGCGGCACAGCATGATTCAGGCGTTCACTTAGGTCGACATCTAGCGGGCAAACTAGGAACTATAGAGCATTGCGGCACAGCATGCTTCAGGCGCCCACTTCTAGCGAGGCTGACATCTAGCGAGAGGGTTAGCAACTACTGAGCACTGCGGCACAGCATGCTTCAGGCGTCCGTATAGGCCGACATCTAGCGAGAAAATTAATAACTATAAAACACTGCGGCACAGCATGCCCCAGGCCTCCATTAAGGCCGAAATGTAGCGCAAAAACTAGGAATTATTGAGCACTGCGACACAGCATGTTACAGGCGCATAGGATTTAAATATTCAGTGACCAGACGGTTACCTTCACATGCTGCTCAAGCTAGAGCAGGCATGTAGCTGGCATTGGTGGCCGGTGGGCTGGAACTCACCAGTGCAATCGGCACCATGATGTCAACCACCGTCGGCTCGTCCCCTTCTTTTGGGAAGAGCGTCGGTGCGAGGATCAAGATACCGTAGAGAAAGAAGGCCGGCATGCAGATGAACAGCAGGAGATCGTCCAGGAATGAGATCGGATGAATGTTGATATCAAGCCGCATCAGCTGGTGGTATGCCAGCAGGCAGAGAATGCCCATCAAAGCAGTTAGGAATAGTTCCCATGATTGGGTCATGTAAATGGCCGCTTGTACTGGAAAGAAAACACGCCACTGTTAGACCGATTTGGAATATGATATCGCATGCTATTGCTCTTGTATGTGCAAGCAATTACCAAATGTGGAAAAAGTCCGAAGGAACGGCTTATGAGACTTCTATGGACCCTTTTAGGTTAAAATAAAAAATGATATTGAATCATGATTATTGGAAATGGCTAAAAGACAACTTACGAGCAGATTCGCTATCCTCGGCGGTCAGTGAGAAGAAAATGATGATGTCCACTACGACGAGAACAATGATCAGCAGACCCGAGAGCATGCCACGGTTGGCTCGCCGGCAATCGACTTGCAGAACCGACTGAGGACATGAAAGAAGCTTATTATTCAAAGACATTCGATGGTATCAATAGCTCTGATATTAAAACATTTGACTAAATATATTATGTGGTATGACCATAGATACATGCTGAACATTGCACTAAGAACTTCTGAAGCAATAAGTCGCCAACGACAAGAGATAAGAGCTCTTGTGCAATCACCTGCTTGGTGGCTGCCTCCACCTGTATGACGTCATCGGTATCTGATGGACTCACCTGATTGGTGGCCCCCTCCACCTGGGTGACGTCACCGGTCAGGTACTGACCGATCTTGGTGTTGCCGATGTTTTGCCAAATGATGAACCACACACCGACTGCCAACAATCAAGGTGCTATTATTTTCAAGACACATATGTAGCTTTTCGCGCAGTATTTAGTTTGATGGAGTAGCTACTAATTTGTTTAACAGGAATGAAATGATACAAAATAGAAGATGGTAGAGCCCATGATAAAATAGTGTAAAGAGCACAGATGTATATACTGAATAATCAAACAGGAGCAGGATAATGGGATCATAGAATATCATTAATTGACAAGATTGAAATATACTTCACACTGGCAGCCGCGCATGTAAGTTAATATAGGTATCCCGTCTTCATTTGAAAGCGTTTCCGTCGTCACCCACCGATGAGGATGTTGAACTCGATGGTGAGCGGGTAGAGGTAGCCGGAGAGGTTGGTGACCACCTCGGCAATGCTGTCGTTATAGGCGCACTTCTGGTACTGCAGTGTGGCGTCCTCCAGTGCAATGCTCACGGTACACTCTGTGAATTAATTACAGCACGGGAATGAAGAAAAGCTGAGAAATGGATTTTTTCGAACTCTCACCAGCAAAAAAAGAGAAGTTTTCTTCCGGTTACTGAAAAATTGAAATACTGCGCTCATTTTTATCCAGCTTGCATCGTAACTATTTTCAAAAGGTAAAAGTGTATTACATTTTAACCCTCACCGGCACAGGGGGGGGGTTGATGCAACCCCCCCCCTAAGGTTTTTCGCGAATAACTCGCGTAAAAAGCGGCCGATCGCGACGAAACTTTCAGTACCCTCGCATTGATGAATTTTACACCTACCCTGAAAATTTCATGACCCTGACCCCAATGACCTTTGACCTGTGACCTCTTTTCTGTGACCTGTTTGGCCGAAATCGCGGTTCGGCGCATGTCGGCTCGCATTAGCCGCGCGTTTGCAAGCTTTTCGTGGTTTCAAACGTTCAAACATGTAATTTGATGTTGCTCCCATGCATTAGGGTGGGTGTCAAGGTCACCTGAAGGTCAGGTCAGGTCATTGACCTTTGGTGACCTCGGGTGACCTCGATTCACTTTTTCGAGTTTTACATGTTTCTAGGCTAGTTTTTGGAGCTGAATTCGAATTTAGCAACCATTTGAACATTTACGAAGTAGTTTTGGTGCCTTCGTAACATATTACGAAGCTGTCCGAGGCGGTTGACACGTATTACGAATACCCGTCACAACCCCTACCGGTTGACCTGACCTGACCTGACCCGACCTGGTCTAAATGCTTATAGACATCATCTATTATCAAAACTAACACGATATTCGTGATCAGCACCCCGGAAAACTACATAGCAGCCACACTTTACGACTTTCTAACAGGTCCCGATTTTCCCGGTTTTCGGGTCATTGACCTGACCTGGAAGGTCACCCGATGACCTAGGACCTTAAAATTGGGTACCATCGGCTTCGTCTGGTGACGGGCAACACGCTCGTTTTTTTGCGAAGCTCTAGCTCGATCAGGGGCCAAACGCGAGGGGGGGGGTCGTACCCCCCCCCCCCTTGTGCCGTCGAAGGACTCAAAATGGCCTGTGCCGGCGAAGGTTAATATACCGTTGAGAATAATGGGATTATGGTTATTTTTGCTCATGTCAAAGAATAAATACATGCTTAGGTCGATCGTTTTTTTTCATGCGCTATCGTTCATATTTTCCAGTCTGCTCTTTACCATTGTATTGGCCTGAAAAAGGAGAGGCCCACCACGGCTCGCGAATGGACACCCTGCATAATTTTGTCTCTACCACCAGGCTGCTCGCTTAGTTTGAGCCCAGACCTGTTTTGTAGGCATACCAACGTCAGGTTTGCATAGCTTACAATCTATCGTGCGATGTTTACCAGGCCCCAGGACATTGAAGGCAGAGCGCCAAAGTGGTTTAAGCTTGTCTGAGTCTCATACAGGCCTAAATGAAAACACGGTTGAAGGCAAATGAGGTAGTTCCCTTCCCGGTTTGCGAGTGATGTTATTATGCGTGGAAGGACAGTATAACCTATGCTCGCTGTCCATTTCTATCCCAACCACACGAGCCACGAGGCTGTATTTATGTCGCTGGGCTGGCAACAGAGACGAGCTTTCTAGCTTCCCATAAATTTTGTTGATAGTTATGTTATAAACGAGTTATTACAATGTCCATTACCGTGGTTAGTTTAGTTGTTTGCAGAACAGAACACCGCTGGTTATTGAAAACATCTTAGAAGGTAGCAACATGCAAGTTATTTGAAAGGGTTCATTAAACAATACTCTAAATTATCTTATTTCATTTTTATTTTTTATTTTTACCAATCATAACACAATATTTAGAAAAAATAATTTTAACAAACACGACATTACGCTACCCTTATACCTGTTTTCCTTAAAAAAAAAACTAGCAGTTGCAGCAGCTAAAGCTAAGCGGAAGGGTGATGCGCACTTGACGCACTGAGTTCCGACTTCCGAGTTCTGACAGTGCGGTCAGACAGGTGTCTGAGTTGGACTCATTGACCCTGGCACTAGTTAGGAGCATATACTAGCCCTAACATGCACTGTACAGTCAGGCGGGCACTGAATCTGTCAGCGCTCACTGACCCCGGCAGTACAGTCAGGCAGGTGACCTGCGCTCGGCTCACTGACCATGTCTGTAAAGCCAGACGTGTGACCGGCGCTCACTGACCCAGCACACCGTGGTGTGACCGGCGCTCACTGACCCTGGCAGTCTGAGGAGTTGTAGTGATGCTCGTCCGAGCCATGGCCACCGTGCTCCGCCACCGCATCCACCGTCTCCTTGATGATACTCCACACCCACATGTTGAGGCTGCTGGCGATACAGTGCATGAAGCCGAACCGGGCCGACGTCTTGTGGTGGTTGATCACAATCTGAGAACGAGCGTGGGGATGGAGAGAGTTTGGCTGCCGATAAAGCTTGAAGAATAGGGGTAGAAAATAGAAATCATAATAAGGCAAATTTGACTACTTTGTTTAACCCTATTCCTGGCGGGCTCCGCCGGGACAAGAAACTGGCGGGGGGGGGGGGGGCCGATTCGGCCCCCCCCCCCTGAGATCTCGAGAACGAAGCAAGATAGCGACAAACGGTAAACGGCATCGGATACGCACGGTCAAGATCTACAATTTTTACTAAGGTCATTTTCAGGTCAGGTCAAAGATGACGTCACAGGGGTCGAAAAAGTCAAAATGGCGGCGCTAGATATGGAGAGAGTTTTTCTCGAATAACTTTCGAATTAGTCAAGATAGGAACAAACTAAGGGCATCATCGTGATCCTCTCGTCAATCCGCATCGAATGATATATATGTTGACCTCGCAAGGTCAAGGTCAAAGGTTGACCTCAGGTCACGTGACCTCGAGGTCATCATGTATATCATTCGATGCGTCTTGACGAGCTGAACACAATGAGACCATCCACGCGTCTGTATCTTGTTCCTGTACGGAGTTATTGGCCAAAAACCTTTGGTGACCTTTGATGACGTCACATGACCTCACAGCTGCCCAACAGCAAAACAGACCTCAACGGTAGTGAAGGTTGATCGTATATGAAGTCATGTATGGTATATGGGGCCATTCCGACCCGTTTTAGTGGTAAAAACAGGGAGTTGATTTTTCCCCCATTGACTTATAATGGGGAGGTCGCGAAACTGACCTGACCTTAGGTCACCGATATCAAAATTCCGAGATATACAAATTGCACATACTGGTACCCTAACTAAAGCCTGAAGAGAAGAAATTGATCGGTCAAAAACTAGCTCTGGCGTGATTGCAAACTTTTCTGAGGTAGGGTCACCAAACCGCCTCTGGTGACCTGACCTGAGGTCAGATCAACTCAAAATTTTCAGACATGTTGCGTAGAAGCCTTTTAGGAAAAGTCAGAAAATTTGAGCTTCCTAGCTCAACGCGTTTGGGAGAAATAACCAAAAAACCTCAGGGGGGGGGGCTCCTGAGGCCCCCCGCCAGGAATAGGGTTAAGCTCGTAAAAGATGACTATACGTGTATTCAAAGATGACATAGTATTTAAAATGACGAGCATTTCTAGCATGATAAGGCAGATGAGGCTGACGCACATGCGGCGGATGCTAGTGGATAGCGGCAAGCGACTACGGGTAGGGGCTACGGGCTGTTTCTCGTATATTTAATGTGAGGTAGGTATAGACGCTCGGTCAATGCGAGTCATGCAATGCTCATTTTTGTGGCAGCCCGTCGGTAATTTTCGATGCACTCACATTGGAGTATTTGAACGTGATGTAGAGCTGGTAGAATGAGAAGATGGGCTGAATGGAGTAGAGGACAATAGACACGATGTCACTGCACTCGTCTCCATGGATAACGAGGTTGTCGATGTGCTTGTAGAGCAACATTAGAAGGTGAACCAGGTGCCCGAAGCAGAAACCTGCCGAAAAAGGGTAGAGCACCATGACCATACACGTTGGCAATACATATTCGCTCCAACTGCATTGTAGTGCAGTTGTATACGATGGAAATAGAAACTTCACTTTGCGACACCATTGTCATGAATAGGCCACAAAAGCTCTGTTTTATTTTTACCCAGATCTGCCCCGACTCACAAGCTGCGCCGATCTTGAGGTAGAAGCTGCCGGAGTGTCTGCCTACGCTGAAGCTGTACAGGCAGCGAATCATCTCGGAGGCAGTCTGCTTGAACGGCATGCGCACCCGGTACTCGCCTTCCACCTCAGTCGGCTCCAGGATCAGCTGACGCTCCAGGGCACCTGCCATCCGGTCGGAGACGCGGTCAGATGAGGTTAGATCAGGTGATCAGATCGGGTCAGAGAAGAGGTCATATCACGTAACAGAGATGTCCGAATAATGTCCAAAAGGTGACTAACTTAGACAAGTCGGATGACCAGCTCAGGACATTGCAGCAGCTAGCGACCACATCTGGTCAGCAAAGTGGCCAACTGAGTGATTGCAGCGGTTCTCCAGTTTAGGCCTCTTAAGCTCCCCGTGTCATTCCATGTGACCTCGGGTTAAAATATCCCTACGGACTTTGCTAGGGATTGTACCCTGCTGAGTGCTGTGCAGCAGCATCTCATCAAACAAGCCTACACAAATTTAATCCTTATCCATGGTCTCAAACTTGGTCAAGGTCGGAAAGGGCCTCGTGGATTATATTAGTTTGCCTTAGCTACTAAATTTATTAGATTGCGTTGGTTTAGAGGGCAAATCATGTGGTCACTGGTAATCAAGTGTTTAGGGTCGATAAATTCAATAGGATTTTCCGTGAAGCATTTCCACTAAAATGATTTCTTCGTAATTCTTTATGATTAAAAGCAGTCATCCGTCAACTAAGAAAACTCAATTGACTGCAAACTTGCCAGGAATTCAAAAAGAGCTTCACCTCCATTTAATCAATTGAAACGCGCAGTCTTCTACCAGGAAAGGAGGCCAGGAAAACCTTTGTAGAAAGAAGATGAAATCATCTGTGATCCGTTGTCGTTCATCACGCTCCGATTTTCAACGCCACAAAGAATTGCGTAACTCCATCATTACATCAGACTTCGGCAGTCGGCATATTCACTGTGAGGCTAGAACTTTGGTTTATTGCCTACATCACATGCCACTATCTGAGATGGTATAAAGTGTACACGGTTCGGTTTTGGTATCTCTTTACAGCGGCTTTCAGCACGCACTACCTTTGCCCGTGGATGAAAGGTCGCCGGTCGCACAGCTGGTTAATGGCTGTTGGGGAGGTCGTTCGCGCGGGTTCGCTTACCGAGCCCCTCCTGTGTGGATTTAGCCACTTCTGCCAGCCGGGCGAGGTAGCGACGCACACTGAAGTGCAGCGCAATCAACCACACCAGGCCGACGACAGATTGCACAATGGTGAAAATCTGAAAATGCACACACACACACACATGTGTCATATTACATCGCTAAAATGTGTCATGTTTGTTTTATTATGCTGTTATTTGTATGTCCTGTTACAGAGAAGCTACCCAGCGCAAGCGTCTTTTTTTACATTTTGTTGTGGCGGTTAAAGACACAGAAGAAGAAACTGCCATGCTTCTTTGAGGGCTAATCCAAATGAGACATCTGTTCCGCGTTTATGAGTTGTCTGTCAAGAGGCGGCTTATTTCCACCATCGTTAAATTGCACCATCCATCCACCACAAAAGCGAGGTATCTTTTAGATTGCTTATCAATTCTGCAAGGTCCATGGGATAGCAAGGTTGCAGCGGTGCCTCATATATCGCGATTACTAATACTTAAGGTCATACGTTATCATTACATTGTCTGATTCAGACGATGGACACTTGGTTTGATGTCTAAAATATAGAATGGTAAGAGGTGAGCCACGATATCCTAAAAGCAACTGTCCGCATATGAGTTTTCTTACTTGGGGAAAATGTACCAGAACGCATGTTCACAAATTAACGTGAATCATGAGCCTGTGCGTATCCTTCGACTGAATTAGGTACGCCAATAGAGCCATTGTAACCAAAATCCAAAAATTATTTTGATCACAATATGTCAGCCTTTGATACCGCACTGCCGATCATTGAAAACGCCTTATGTTTTGCACTGTATTGATGTATTATACACATATCTTTTCAGCAGCCGCTTACCCCAGCGATCTCCCACTGCGGAGCCGCTTACCTCAGCGATCTCCCACTGCGGAGCGACTATGTCTGCCACAAAGATGATGAGTCCGAACATGACCAGGAACGTGGCGTACATGGCGCTGCCCACCACAGCCAAATTGTTCCTGGGAGCGACACAGATCGAGTACATCGGCGTTAAATGGTGGCGGTGTGTTGCCATGGTCACACTCTTTGTTATTTCTGACTTTACAAGGGCTGATGAGGTGCTCGGTCAGGAGTACGTTTCTGCTTGGACAAATATGAAAATAGCATGAATACCTATAATGCTCTAAACTTTTTCAACCACTAAATAGGTGTAGGCACTTATGTATAGGGTAGGCTAATACAGATAAGGCCTAGCGATTAAAACGAAAATCGGCAGATCCTTATGACAGATCCTTATCCACGTTAGGCGGCACGGGCGGACATCGATAGCAGCGCCTCTATCGGTCACTAGGGAAAGCTGGGCTGTAGGCGACGAAATACCGGCTGAGTTGTCACACGTTGAATAGGTTTGTAGCCATCCGTCTTGTGAAAAAGTTGAACTTTTGCCTTTAATATTTCTACAGGCAATTTTAGAAGTGTCTTCACATGGATTACAAAACCGTTTAGATTATTGTATTCACTTCAAGCCTTCCCTATTGTTCTTGATGATGCGGGAACTATTTCTAATTAGTGTTTCTAGCTTAGTAAAAGAACATACTGTGCAAACGATGAAAAAAGCATAACTGAAAGATTTTAAATGCTATTTTCTCTAACAATTAATGGTAAATTCTCTACATATCAAGGAAAAGGTGCATGCTAACTGATAATTTAAAGTTCTTGGGGCCAGTTGTTTTCTTCTTTTCTTACATACGTCGCCCCAATGGCCGCGAATACTCTTGTGATAACGCCTATCGACTTAGCTGAAGATAATGACAAAGCTGTACTTACTTGAACTGGTTGAGTTTGAACTCCTGCGTTGAGGCGGGCGGCATCTGCGGCCCGAAGTTATCGAGAAGGCTGGCCTCGGACTGGGAGTAGCCGCTCCAGGTGGACACTGGCGCCTGGGACTGCGTGATGACCGACTCTGAGGACGAATAGGGCTCCGATCGGACTCTGACCGCGCTCTTTTGGCCGAGCTCTGATGTGCCTCTGACTCAGAACACAGCGTTAGGATTCTGCTTGGACTCTTCTACGAGTAAATCTGACAAAAATATACAAGCACATGCCATTAGGCTGGTAAGAATCTCATTCAAATCAAAACCTCGAGGCATCACAAGTCTTGGTCGGCGACTTTGAGGCTTTGAGAAAACTGTCCCGATCGGGACACCGCTGCACTGCAGACTGACCGGCCGTGCCGATGCTGGCCGTCTCCTCCACCTCGTGTATGTCTGGCGGTTTTTCGGCGGTCGTCTCTGACACGGTGGCTACCCTGCCGGCGGTCGCCAGTGACGCCAGGCTGGCCGAGTGCGGCAGGGTGACCACCTCCCCCTCCCGCAGCGTTTCCAACTGCAGGTCGTCGATCGGCAGCACGATGTTCCCCTCGCTGTCCATGCCCTGAGGGCAGAGGTCGGGTCAGAGGGTGGGTTAGGAACTTTTAGTGAGGAAAGGCTTATGATAGTATGAGGCGATGACTGATACTTTTTTAACACATTATCTATTTCAGTGTAATAAATGGATTGTGATTATGGATGGGCCCTCGTTGCGCTGGTGTGCGACGTGCGTTTATTCATTTTGATATTAACGATGTCAACGCCCTTTTTTAGTTTTTTTAGCTTTAGTTTTTTTTGTGTTTTCGTGCAGGCACGCATTTTAGTTACAAGTGAATAATAGGTGGTCACTAAGTTAACTACCAATCATGCAATTATAAGGTCGTTCAATAAGTAACGAACAATCGGTCATAACTTCTTTATTTCTTTATCTAACACTTTCAAACCTTCACAGATTATAGATCAGACATTTCTGAATGCAGCCTATGCCTCAAAACAGTCGCCGCCCGCCTGCACACACTTCTCCCAGCGTTCCGGCCAACGCCGGAATTCCGCCCGGAAAAACGCGTTTTCCGTCTTTTTCACCCAGTTCTTGACAGCGCACATGACTTCAGCGTCGGTCTCGAAGTGTTCACCACGGAGGCCATCCTTCAGGGGACCAAAGAGGTGAAAATCTGAAGGAGCCAGATCCGGACTGTAGGGCGGCTGGGGCATGATATTCAGCCCTGTCACGCGATCTCCTCGCGCGTGGCGTGAGACAAGTGCGGTCTGGTTTGTCATGGTGTATGGTGATGTTGTTGACATCCGAGCCGCGCTTTCTTCAGGATTGCTTTTTCTCATCTCCGCAGGACTGTGATGCAGCGGCCCGCTGTCCATAGTCCGCCCAGTTCAAGAAAGCCCACCAGGATGCACCATGACAACGCTCGTCCGCCCAGTCTCACGCCACACGCGAGGAGATCGCGAGACGGGGCTGAATATCATGCCCCAGCCGCCCTACGTCCGACTGGCTCCTTCAGATTTTCACCTCTTTGGTCCCCTGAAGGATGGCCTCGTGGTGAACACTTCGAGACCGACGCTGAAGTCAGGTGCTCTGTCAAGAACTGGGTGAAAAAGACGGAAAAGCGTTTTTTCGGGCGGATTCCGGCGTTGGCCGGAACGCTGGGAGAAGTGTGTGCAGGCGGGCGGCGACTGGTTTGAGG